CTAGCTGATGAGGATGATAAAGCACTTAAATAGGAAACGTACAACTAGCATCACAGATGGGGCAAAGTACTGACGTTTTCTTGCTAAGGATGGGAACAGACAAGGATTCTGGAATGCTTAAAAATATCTGTCTCAAAAGTTGTGTTCCTTTTTAATGATTTATTTACTTATTTGAAAGACACAATTACAGAGAGGGAGGGAGAGAGGGATACTTCACCTGTTAGCTTATTCTTTCTCTCTCCATGACTACAATGGTCAGAGTTGGATCAGACCAAAGAGGTGGCAGTGAAAACTGATAAGGGGCATGATGGAATTTGAGAGTTAGTTGTATTACTTTGTATTTTAATAGAGATTAGGACTGCACAGGTGTATGTATTTGCTGAAATTCATTGAACCATTCCCTGAATATTTGTATCCATCATTGTATGTAAATTTGACTTCATGATAAAACAGAGCCCTCAGTTAAAGCCAGTTTAATATATATGTGACCTAAAATACTTTGTGGCGAACACCTTGATGTCTCTGTTGACTTTGAAATCCACCTGTAGATAAATGTATGAATACAGAGAGAGGGTGAATGGATGGATACAGATCAGAGAAGAAGTAGAGCTGGATGTTAAGGAAAAGTAAAGGCAGTGAGTATGTTCAATGCATAGTTCTTTCAGTTCTTTTGCATGTTTGTAAATTTTCATAATGAAATGGTGAATAGAAACAAATATAACCCTGATGTGCAACAACAACAACAAAAAACAACTCTGTGATAGCCTCCAGAGAACCCAGCAGTGAGCCAAGGCAAGAATGCTGCTCCCAGCCGTCCAGCGCCCCGCTCTTGTCACAAACGACCTCTACAACACCCAGAGTTCTGTCAGACCCAGGTTGCTGAATTGAACTTTCCTGGTTAAAGAAAAAATACACAGGATTTCCAGAAGTCTCACACATTCTCCTTTTTATAGCTGTGGTTACTAATACTATAAGGTCACAATAACTACATTGCTTATAAGAGAAAAATATGCAAAAGGCAAATAAAAAATAAAAGAATACACAAGGAATATATAAAAGTACTCCTATTTTGGATCCAAAACTGATGAAATGACTATTATAAGTAGGATAATATTCTCCAGACAAAAGATTCTATTACAATGTTGTAATAAGAATGCTAATCTAAATTTTAGATTTCACTTATATTCTTTAACTGACCTGTGAGATATTTTCAAGTGTCCAAAGTGTAGAATATAAAACTGCCTTCTGCCTAAATGAAGCTAACATCCATGAGGGCCTTAGACTATGACCACATTACAGTTGGTCATATACACGTATGTCACAGGAATCCTGTATGTCATCCCCGTATTAACTGACTTCTGTCTGCCCCAAGCTGCTCTTTCCACTGCCCCACTCTCACGGATGAAGGGGAAGTGACATGTGGATGAGCCTTACTCTGTTTCAAAGTAGCTTCTAATCAAGGTGTGGCATGGAACACAGCAGTCCGTGCCTAGTGTTTTGAACTTGTCCCTGTGTGCGAAGTTACCGTGGGCAGCTGCCAGGTCTGCTCAAGAGCAACTTGGTATCGCTATGCTTTTCTGTCTGTCCCTGGTCTTCAGACACACAGACCAGAAAGCCACTGTGCCTCGGGCATGAACAGCCAAGTGATATAGCAGTGCAAAGGCAGGAAGGAAACACATCTCCAGAAATCAGATTTGTTGTGGAGTTTAGACATTTTAAAGCATGGATTGCCCAAAGCTCTGGAAACCTCTGTGTAAGGATTCACAAAGGAGTACGCTATTTCTTTTTAGTAGGATAGTTTGCAGATTTCATTTCACAAGGAAAAATACAGGTATGCAAATGGGTTTGTCAACTATCACTATAACTAAAATCCATGGGCAAAGTTACCTGTGAAGGAAGATTTGTTTTGGCTCACAGTTTTGGAAGTTCATGGTTGAAATCAGTTTTGGGTCTGATGAGAATGGTAGATAGTAGAACAGGAGCAGAGGAAAGATAAAGCCAGGAAGATATCAGGGCTGGGCCAGACCAAAGCCAGCAGCCAGGAACTTTTCCAGATCTCCCACATGGTTGGCAGGAGCTCAGCAATTTGAACCATCTTCTGTGCTTTCCTAAGGATATAAACAGGGAGCTTGATTGGAAGTGGAAACTTGAACAGCCTTATATGGAATGCCAAGTGTTTCAGGCCACTGCTTAACCTGTTGCACCACAGTGCCAGCCACCAACTTCCGAATGATTCTAACATGCAAAGTGAGAACATCTGTTTTTCCTTCTAGCTGGATTATGTAGAGGAAAACACAGCCTCTTAACTTTATGAGAAATATGTTTGCTTCCTCTTAAGTTTAATTCAACATTTTAATATAGGTGTCACTTTAGAATAAAGTGGGACAGTCTTGTGAGAACTCGGGTTTGGCTTTGGGAAAGGATGTGGTGACCATAAATCCCATGCTCCTGCCATGCCTTGACAAACACCAAGATCCCTCCTCTGGCAGACCCACTGATGCTCGCAGACCCAGTGTTGATATGGAACACTTCATGGCAGGGTCCTTCAGCCCAGAGCAGATTCCCAGATGGGTGCTGGTATAAGTCCCAGCTACGCCAACCATCCAGATCTCTGCTACTGACTCTGGAAACGCAGCAAATGACAGCCCAAGTGCTTGGGTTCCTTTTCTCATGTGGAAGAAACTCCTGGCTTTCTGGCATCAGCCAGCACAGGTCCAGCTAAGGCAGCCATGTGGGGAGCACACCAGCAGATGGAAGATGTCTCTGCCTTTCCTTCCCTCTCTGTAATTCTTTCAAACAAAAATAAATAAATCTTAAAAGATATGTAGTTTGAGTGCTTTAAAAATCCATATATTAAATATATAAGACGGCAACACCTTCAATGAGTTTATGACCGGTTGATACCAACTGAGATGAAAAAATTCTAGTCAAATTTAAAAATAAAGACTTTGTATTATTCCCAGAAAACATTAGAAATTATTTCTGTAATGTGTTTTACATAACCAATGACACACTACTTTTGTTTAGATCAAAATATCTTTGAGTATCCTTTGAAGCTATGACATTTATTCAAATGAACTAATGAAATCAACCAAAGTTAAACTCAGCTCTTCAAATCATCTCGTTTAAAAAAGAAACTGGATATATTCAATAAGTATTTAAATGCTATTTATACTTAACAATATGCAACATATTTTTCACTTTTAATAAATGAAATAACAGGGCCAGTGGGATGGCTCAATTGGCTACCCCTCAGCCTGCAAGAGCCAGGATTCCATATGGGCAACAGTTCACTTCCCAGCTGTTCTGTTTCAGATCCAGCTCCCTGATTATGGCCTGGGAAAGCAGTGGAGGATGGCTCAAACCCTTGGCAGACCCAGAAGAAACTCCTGGTTCCTGGCTCCTGGCTCCTGGCTCCAGATCAATTCGGTCCTGGCCATTGTGGCCACTTGAGTTGTGAACTAGCAGATGGAAGATCTACCTTTCTGTCTCTCCTTCTCTCTGCAAATCTTCCTTTCCAATAAAAACAAGTCTTTTCAAAAAAATGAAATAGCTAAATATTTATTTTACGTTTATCTATTAAAGTTTTTAGTATTATAAATGCTTTATAGTAGATATTATATTCATAAAACAGCTCAAGTATATATCAATAACTAAATTTAACATAAAAATACAATGAACCTGTATTACTGACTTTTAGAAAACTGTTTCAAAACAGACATCTATAAGCATTTACAATATCTGTCTAGCCCAGAGTTGACACTTCATAAAATATGTATTGATGGCCAAAAGGTACATGAAAAAAAGTGCTCAGCCTTACTCATCACTATGGAAATGCAAATTAAAACCACAATGAGATACCATCTCACACCTGTCAGAATGACTATATCAAAAAGACAAAAGATAACAAGTGTTGGCAAGAATGTGCAGAAAAGGGAGCTCTTGTACACTGTTGGTGGGAATGTAAATGAACACAGCCATTATGAAAAACTGTATGAAGTTTTCTCAAAAAAATTAAAAATAGGACTACAATATGATCCAGTAATCTCACTTCTGGCTATTTACCCAAAAGACTTCAAATAAATTTGTCAAAGAGGTACCTGCACTCCCATGTTCATCGCAGTGTCATTCACAACAGCTGAATGGTGTTACAGCATCAACCTCAGTATCCATCAACAGATGTGTATACACAACATGGTGTGTATAGACAATGGAATGCTATTTCGCCTTTTAAAAGAAATTCTGTCATCTGTGCCAGCGTGGATGAAACCTTAGAACATCGTGCTAAGTGAAACAAGCCAGGTCACCAAGAAACATCACCGTCTCACTTCTGCAATCCCAAACAGTGGAATCCATAAGAGTAGAGCTGAGTAGGGGGTAGAGATGCTAAAGTGGGAAGGAAAGGGGAAGGCAGCAATCAAAGAGTCTAAAACCCTAGTTAGGAGCAAAATTGGGATTTTTCAGATATTTTCTAAAGTTTGGTGAATAACTAATTGTAACACATTAAACATTGAAAAATTGTTAAGTGCAAATTTTAAATGCCTCCATCCCCAAAATGGTAAATGCTTAAGGTGGTGGATGCATTAAATAGTTCTTTAATTATTTCACATTGTAGTCATAAATCACAATGTCACTTAATGCTCCATACATAGACTGTCAGTTTATAATAAAACTTAAAAATGTCAATGAATAGCAGTCATGGCCATAGCTAAACGGGTAGAATATCAGTTTATGAAGGTGTCCACCCACACATTCAGAAGAAACATCTGAGAAGCATCATGTGTCCATAGATCCAATGAAGAGATTATTTTAATCAACTTATAACTATCCACATCAATGATTAGAGGCATAGAAGGACATTTTTGGCCTATCAGTCAAGATACCAGCAACCCATATCAGAGTGTCAGGGTTCTGATGCTGGACTCCTGCTCCAGACTCCAGCTTCCTGTTAATGCTGACCCTGAGAAACAGACGTAATGGCTCATGCAACTGAGCACCTGCCTCTCAAGTGGGAGATCAAGATTGAGTTCCTGGCTCCTAGCTTCAGCTTGGTCCATTTCTGCAGGTTGCAGGTATTGGGGGAAGAGAACCAGTGGAAGGGAGTGTGCTTGGGTGCTCACTTGCTGTCTCTCTACCTCTCAAATAGCTCAGTACCTCGTTTTAAACAGATATTTAGGAGCAATGGATAATAAATACTACAAATTAATTCAGTTCAATGAGGAATTAGTGAGTGTGTCATATCTGACTCACAAATGAAGCAAGTTAATAAGTTTTTTTATGGTTTCTGACTTCAAGAAATTCATGTTTAGCTCCAGAACGTGACCTCAAACTTCCACTTCAAGTTGCATGCTTTCTGATATGCAGAGAATTTGAGCCACTTGGTTGTGTGATTTCACTATTTTCCAGGTACCTAACTTCTTACCATATGCTTGTCTCTTCCTTGCACCCTGATTGCATGCTGGACGTGGACCATGTCATGGACCAGGATCTTGTAAACTTCAGTCTACACTTGATTTGCCACTTCATTCATGTCGCAAGTCAGTTTGCTCCTATGGCTACCTCAAAAGACAGTGGATAAGACAAAGTGAATTTTTAATAGAACTCCCCTTAAAATTGAACCTTATTAAAGCAAAATGAAAATTTCAAATACCTTTTTTTCCATGTCCTTTTCCGAGCTTACAGTCTACATGTAGAACGAAGCAAAAAGGCAATCATCTAAAGTGAGCTGAATAGCTGGATGTGCTACTGTTCCCCAAAATCTGAAAGTAAGTCATACAGGAGAACAATAGTGATAATATATTGTACAATAATATATTGTATAGTAATATATTGTATAATAAGATATTGATTTGTTAATTAATGATAAAGATTAATGATGAAGGCAGTGAGCTCAGAGGCTCTTAGTAAGTTAGCAAAGCACCAGGAAAAAGCAATTCTTCCAAAGTGTTACTCATCCCAAGGATTAGTCTTGGAGAGAAAAGACCAGTACTTTAATTTCCATTTCATGATGTCTGGCCCCAAGAAATGACTTCTTTTGGCTTCCTTCCCTTGTGGTACCACAAGTCCCCGGATCCAACTGACGGATTTTCAGAGCCTGATGTAGGAATGCTGATGGTAGAAGCCATCTCCAGGTACCCAGCATCATGAAAGATCACTCATGTAACACAAATAACTGGAAGAGAAATAGAATGGAAATATTTGCTCCTCTCCTCCATCCCTACTCTCCTAAAAACCAGACTACAGGCTGCATGTATGCTGTGTTTGGGAGAATGAGACTCCTGGAATAACGAGGACTGTTTTAATCTACTCCTGCAAGAAAACAATTTGCAAAATCAACAAGACTTGTTTAAGTTCCTTCCTCTAATGACTCTGGCATGAGACTGAAAGCTAAGGGAAATTAATTTGATGAGAAATAAAACATTCCAGCACAGAAACACCTCTACATATCTTTATTGAAAATGTTTTCATCTCAGCAGAATAACCCAGGGGGAAAAACGGATGGATGGGCAACCACAAACAATACATTGACCTCAAGAAGGAAAAAAGTACCATTTTAATCTTAGCAGATACATTAAATATTCAATCTGAATTAAAGCATTCAAGATACACCAGATGTCTTCAAGAAGTTCAGGGGAAAGGCAACGAAAAGGTAGATTTATTTTGGTGCAAAACATTCTTAAATTCATGGATAGTTTTCATAATATGCATTTTTCCTTCAACTTTTTGAAGAACTATCTATGCATGGATTTTTTATGACAAAATAAATTTGCTTTTAAATTCTACTTCTCATGTACTTTTTGAAATACTATACTATATATACTGGGTTTTAGGAAAATACTGAGAAATTTGTTTCAGAACAAACCCAAAGTGGAAACAAGATCCTAAAAGGTAACTTTCTCCAAAGCTGATTTTTAATTTTTTATTTATTTTCATACTAATTGAAAGTGTGAGGGAGAGAGAAAGACAGAAAGAGAGAGAGAGAAATCTTCCTTCAATTTGGTTCACTCCCAAATGCCTACAACAGCCAAGCTTGGGCCAGGCTGAATCCAGAAACCCAGAAATCAACCTGAGTCTTCCATAAGGCAGGAACTCAAGTACATGAGCCATCATCTGCCGTCTCCTAATACGAAGCTGGATTAGAAAGAGACAAGCCAGGTCTCATGCCAAGCACTCCTACATGGAATGTGACTATCCCAAGCAGTGACTTAACCTCTGCACTAAATGCCTACCTCAAAAGTCTTAATTTTAAATGGCAAAGTAAATGTGTCCAGAACACTGTCATTTCCTACAAATGTCCCTAATTTCTATGTGAATTCTACCAATGACACCGTCTGCCTAACAGTGGGAATAGTTATTAGCAGGCAAACACGGCATGCCCAGGAGCACACAGTAACAGCCACACTCACTCCCCTGCCAATCTGACATGTCTCCATTAAAGAAAAATAACTACTATAAGTTGGACTGAACTTAAATGGCAGTTATCCTGGCATGACCCCCAGGAAGAATGGTGCTTGGATGGAGGCGGCCTTGGCTTCACATACTGGTGGCTTGTAGGTACTCTGAGACATTAAACTCACGTAGCAGCCACTGAGCTCATCGCTATTGAACTTCAGTGGGTCTGGACCCATGCCCAGCACAGCCAGATATATGGACTTGAGATAGAAATGTCTAAGCCCATCATTCATCCTGCTCATCACAGCCCAGGTAATCTCATATGTGTCCTTATGAAAACAGTAAAGCTATCTCTTACACCAAGATTTTTCTTAAGCTTGTTATCCTTTTAATAATCAAGTAACCTGGAGCTAACTCATTCCTCTCCCCATAAAGCCCCAGCTAATCTCTATAACCTCATCTGCAACAAAAGACATATCTGTGCATGTCCCTGCCTTCCTTAGCCCACCTCGCTGGTGACCCACCCCTGCCCATCCTGATCTTCCTTGAAACCCTCCCAACCCACTGCTACACTCGTCCCTAAGTCTCAAGACTTTGCTGCCTAGGTTATAAATCTGGCAAACATTTAGAACAACAAGTGACTGTGCGAACCAATGACTCAAGGACTCTGGCATCAGGTCTGCCCTCCTTGGCTGCCTCTCTCAGGAGGTGCTGGCAGGGTTGGACTTCACCACAGTGCTCCCCTCTCACCTCTGAATGACTGAGGGTAGAACTGGCTTACAGATGGGTCACCAGTGAGCACCGGAGAGAAGAGACCCTCCTCAAGGAGAAATGGAAGTACCTGAACCACAGACCCACAGACTTAGCAACATTTGTAAAAAAACAAAACAAAACAAAACCAAAAAAACAAAACTCTGAAATCTCTAGAATGTCCTGCCCCAAAGGAATAGAACAGAAAAATAAAAAAGAGAAGGAGGCAGAAGGGAAGGTCTACAATTTAATTGCTTCAGCAAAAAGTGTAGTTACAACATGGCTACTCCAGATGTGAGTCTGGGGCTCAAGCCCAGGCTATTCTGGAACTCCTAACCAAGGGTAATAGGACTCCCAGTGGAGATCCAGCTCTAAAAGCCTTCCACAGAGAGCGTGTGGTTGAGCACGTAGCTGTCATTATCTTCTTCTTCCAAAAGCAGCTTGTCGATGGTCAGTGAATTCATGGCTCTCCTAGGGTCTTCCATGTCCTGAAGCACCGGCTCTGGGATGGAGATGGGCAGCTGGACAAACTGAGGACCAGGCAGGGCTGGAGCCGGAGGCTGGTACTGTAGGGTGGAGGTGGGCAGCGTGGAAAGGGGTTGAGGCCACGGGAAATAGGTAAGGGGTGCCTGGTGTTCTGGGGCCTCCAGCTGGGGGCCTCCCGTGGGCGTGCTGGCACTTCTGGTCTGTAATGGGAAACAGGACCAATGGTTAGCAGCCCTCAAGTACCTAGGGACCTTTCTTCATTCTCGAGTGGCATCTTCATTGCCACCTCTTCAGCTCTGCCTTTTCCTGGTTTCTCCTGCTCCAAATCTTCCTCACACAAGCAGCCATGCTTCCTTTCCACGTGTCACTTTGACACCTCGCAGGCTTCTGCCACTTTCCTACTCAGAACCCTCAATCTTGTCATAAGAGACAAATGGTAACAAAGCCCTACAACTAAGTAGATCAAAGAGGATTTTCCAAATTTGGTTGAATATAAAATGCATCTCGACTTCAGGGATCTTACAATGGAAAATGTAAATGCATCCTAAAATCTGTGAACTTGTAACACGTTAGACAATGAGCATACGATAGGTAGCCCAGGAGCTGTAGCTGGGAAGTGGCTATTATCCTGCCCAGCCACAGACAATCCTGGCTCCACCCAACTGCATCGCATCTGAAATCCCTGTAAGCCAGAACTTCATCACCTCCCAGCCCTTGGTGGTGATCAGCATAGGAAGGTCTATCCACTGCTTTCTCTGTCTCTGATCTATAACTCCACCTGCTAGTCAGAGACTGGCTTCTTACTACTCCTTCACAGGCAATGGTGCAGGTGGAGGCAAAACTTGCCTGCATACAGCGATGTAAAACAGGAGCAACCTTCCCCTACCAACCTTCTCTCTGATTATCACAATGTCTTGAGAATCAACTTATGAGAGTCATTTAGGGCACAGCTCTGCATCAGGTAACAAAGCAAATCATGGCCCTGGAAGTCTGGGGCAAGGCCTGGGATTCTGCACATCTAATCTGAGGCCAGGGGATGCCAATGCAGCTGCTCCAGGAATCAGTGTTGAGTAGTGAGGATTTAGCATATTGTCACATAGAATGATGGAGTAGGATGGGGACCCCAGAGGTCACTTGGCCTCTGAACACCTGCGGGATGCATACATTCCACTGTGGCACACAACCACTTCCTCTCCGCTGATGTGAGTTAGGGCCTCCAGCCCAGGGTCTTGACACCAGACAAATACAAATGAAGCCCTTATTATTAGCAGCATTTAAAAAATTCAAATGAACATCCTCCAATTTGGAACCATAGGCCTGTACAGATCAAGTGCAACTGCAGGTTTCTTCACTCAGGGATAGAATTACATCATCCCAGCACCTCCACAGGCCTTATCTCTGCTGATCACAGCCCTGACTAGAGAGAGGCCTAAGCCAGCTTTGATGAGTTAACTTACAAAATGGCAAAACAAATAAATTACTTCTTAATGAATACAGTTTGTTGGATATACAGAGCTGTTCAAAGCGGAAGGTGGGGATGATGAAAGGCAATAAATAATAAAAAGAAATCTTCAATAATGAAATTGCTGGGACCCATTATGTTCTCTAACCCCTAAGTCCCCTGATATGGAAATAAGTGGCCTGGGGGAAAGTGTTGGATTAATTCTCCTAAGCACCTTCAGAGGCCCCACAGTTGGTTTTCTGGATAGCCAGGTGGGCATGGGGAAGAAGGGCTCCTGAAGGATGGGCCTGGAGGGTGCTTGGAGGCAGGGGCCGAGGCAGGTGCACTGGGCTGATGGTGGATCCTGGAGGGAAATGGAGTGTGGGGAACCTAAGCAAGCTTCACCATTTGGGGGTGGGCTCTGTCAGTATACCTGGGGCCCCAGCTCTACTGGCCACAATCTCCTGATGCTACCCACAGCCCCTTTCCCCATAACCTTTAGAGGAATTCCAATTTCTTTGGTCCAACAGGAACCACTTATCTGAAATTGTGCTTCCTTCCTCTATTCCTGATGGAGTGGGCTCTTCCTTTGCTATTTCACACTGGAAGGCAGCCCTTGACTAACAGAATTGGCAAACTTTGATACAAAACTAATAGCTAGCATATATCAAGTGCTTTCTGTATGCCAGCAGGTGTGCTAATAAGCAGCACTCTAGGTGTTAATTCATTTGAGCCTGAGACTATCGTTTTTCAGTCTTTCTGAAGACTGAAAAGACAGATCAGGACACTAAATAAAATTGCTAAGTTTGTAGCTGTAAGTGAGTGGCTAAGGGATTTGAGCCTAAGCATCCTGACATAGAACTCAAGAAAAATCATCCCACAGTTGGATTTGATTCCATCAAAAGCACAGTTTCTTGAAAAGTTGTATCTCCTGTCACATGGTCTTGAACTATCTCAGAAAATTCCTGTGTTAAGTGTATAATCATCCCTTAGGCTGTATCTAAGGATAAAGGAAAGGCTTCGTGGGCCTGAAGCCCCACACAGATCTCATTCATGAAAAACTTCAGCTTCTAACCAAGACTCCCTGCCTATGGGGCAGCTGGGGAGATTGATAGAGAGGCAGGAGAAATATCTCCCGAACCCAGAGAAGGATCAGACACAACCAGAGAGCAAGGGGGATTTTTTTTTTTGGAAGATGCTATGGGTCAAAAGGAAGAATAGGCTTCCTTGGATGATACAATGGGCTTTAGTAGCCTGATTGGCCTGAAAATCAACAGCAAGCAACCGCAGGGGTCAGAAAGTGAGAGTATTCTCAGCGTGGGCTACATGACGTACCGTAACATTAGTAATGAGTGGTGGAGAGGCATAGGTCAGCACCGAGGAGGGTCCCACCACCGTGTAGCTGGGGCACACGGGCTGCACGTACATGTCAGTTGAGTAAGGGCAATTGACGGCCTCATGGGACACATACTCAGTGTAGGGCGTCCATGGTGCCAGGGGCTGGAGGGTGGCTGGGGCAGGCTGAGAGAGCCAGCCAGCACACAGGGCCCCCTCCTCTGTCACAGTGGAAGCAGACACCTCCATGTCAAGGCAGGAAGGACCTGTGGGAAGAAGGAATCATAGAACTGCAGGTGCCACCCAGAAGAGGGCCTCATGGAGACCAGGGCTGGGAGGGTGGGAAGGGAGCACGTTCTTACCCACTGTGGTGTAGGTTGCCAGGGGCTGGTGAGGCAGCACCACCTAGAGGACAGGAGGGAAGACAGGATTGGTGTTGAGTCATCTCCAGTGGGCCCTGGGCAGGGGGTTGCCTAGAGAACAGGGTAAGAGTCGCCCTTGGTAGAACAAAACACTCCAGCCCTATAACCTCCCCACTCCCTCCACACCCTCACACACACACCACCACCACCCCCTTCCAACCTACACTGGTGAGGCAGTTGTTTTTGCATGTAGCGAGAAGACTATGCACTTTCCAAACTGGCATCTTCCCCTTCACAAGGGCATTTCCAGTTCACACCAAGGAGGTATGAATCAGACCATGGTGAGAACTTTGGTCAGTTTAAGGCATCACCAACTTGCTCTACCCTAGGTTGGCCCCTAGGGGCAGTCACCATGGCACTTGCTGCTTTCCTGCTCCCAGTGAGTAGCTCCCCTGGTTGACCCCGCCGGCTGGCCCCGCTGGCCCCCACTGGCCACAGGAGGCCTCCTCACCGCTGTTGGTGTGACTGGCGCCCCGCTGCTGGCATGGCCGCGCTTCCTCCTCAGCAATTCCTTCACAGGCTCCTTCACACGGACGCCCTGGTAGGGCCGAGGCGGGGCCGGAGTTTGCTCTGGAGCAGTGGCTGTGGAAAGCAATATTGGCTGGAGGAACCCGTGGCCTTTTCTCAGACAAGCTCCCACCCCAAAGTGCCCATTTCCTGGAGGATCTGATGGCTCACTTCCACCTCCATTTTGTGTGATCATCGAGATGATCCAGAAACTCTTTCCTAATCCCATTGTTGCTTCTGAGCCCCTTCCGTAGCTTCCTTGCATGGCCTAACTCTTTAAACTAGGATTGGAATACCTTCCCAGCTGGATCCAAAACTGTTTTCTTAACCACTTTGTACCCTAATTTCTACCTAAAACCTACAAGTTGATACAATACATCATATGTTCTCTGCATCTCATCTCTTCATATTTACTTGAGGTGGCAATCACTTGCCATGGGTGGAGCTGTCTCCCACTTCTCTCAACATCCTAATTCCTCCAGAACTAAGATTAGCACAACCCTCCTGGCTGACCACTGTGGCCGTAACCTCTGACACACTTCTGTTTCAGATCAGCAGACATCACAGGTGGGAGCTAGCTGTAGGATGCAGGCCTCGGGGACAGGGAGCATAGACCTTCAGGTCCAGCTCCACCACAGTCTAGCTGTATGATTCCAGGTGAGCTACCAGACTCTGTGCCTCTTAGTATGCAATTCCTTCATCAAAAGAACTGTGTGAGGAATCATCAGACACAACCCATGGGAAGTGCAGAGTGTTCAACAAATCAGGTAAAGGGTCAGCATTCAATAAAATTGCAGTCTGCAATACACTAATGAGTTGTCCCTGTTGATAGAAATTTCTTTTGCCCTAGCTAGATCTTAAACTTCTCAAGCTGAGCTATTATACCTCTTTTTCTACATCTTCTTGAGTGACATGTCCATGATAAGCTCAGTAATTATTTGGTCTTTAACTGAATGGGTGATTCTTTAAACCATGTTCCCATTCATCTTCCTTCCATCTCTCTTGGTCCTTCAGAATGATGGGGTTGAAATGAATGGCTCCTAGGTTCTCTAATACTCCCAGGACATGGCACAAATGCCCAGTGGTGATCCACAGGATCCTGGAGCCACAGGGTGTCTACCCGGCTAATGAAAAGGCTCCCTCCCACCCAGACACTCCACTTCATCCCTCAAAGCAAAAAAAAAAAAAATCCTCTAATAAGAGCCAGAGCAGAGAGCCCTTTCTGGATGGGGACAGCAACCTTGGTGACAGTTTGTGCACTCTGAGGGGCCCTTGGAGGGCAGGCCTATATCCACCAAGAGTGATGAGAAGCACTGGCCCTTAGGGCCCATACAGAGAACCCATTATCACCCTCCCCCATAAGGGCCCCAAGAACCTGGACTCTGAATCAAAGTCCCGGAAACCTGGATATCTGAGAAACCCGGATCTGCTGCGGTGCCTCGGCTGAACTTTGCTCAGTAAATACCGAGCTGATAAGGTCCTAGGCCTTCTCGGCACCAGACTTCCCCCAGGGGCCAGGCACCAGCATGGCCTGGTCTGGAAGCCCAGCAGTAAGATGGAAACTTGGGCCCAGACAGCAGAAGAAAAGAATGAGACCCAGGGACAGATGACATGGGGTCATGCATGTCAGCCCCATAGGCTCAACTTCAGACCGGTCGCTGAGGTCCCCTACCTGGCCACATGGCAGAATCAATCAGGGAGTGAGGTAACACACAGATCCCCAGGCTCTGCTCCCCTAGAGTCTTATCCTATGAGTCTAGAGTGGACCTAGAAATCAATTGCATTAAAATCTCTGGTACATTGGCAGTCTTACTGAGATTAGACACACTCATTATTCACTACCAATTTAACACAAGGATCTGTCTACAACCCTCTTGCTTGTAACTTCTTCTGTTCCATCAAGGATCTCTACTGGTACTCAGTCTTTAAAACATCCCTAGTATGAGGAATGTGCAACACCGAGCAAGACATGTGCAGTGGAGCCAGCCTGCTAGCTGTGCCCCCAGACCATCTGTGTACCTTCACCTATGTTCCAAGCAGCAGTGACAATGGATGTCAGAGTCAGAAATATCAGTATTCAGATGTGGGCTGTTACTTACTGGTAGAAAGTTGTCCTATTTCTTTAGTATTTCTAGACTTCAATTTCTTCATTTATAAACACGTACAATAATTCCTCTCATGCACTACAATAATAAATGGTGCGCTCCCAAGGCCATGTCTGGCATAGATGGGTAGATGCTCAATACACCAGAAAGCTCTTCCTCATACTAAACCTGCTTTACAGTAGCAAGCACATTTCTGTACAGTGCTTTCCAATGAAACTCATGGTCCGTATGCAGCTTTCTCAGCTAAAGAATGAAGGCCAGAATGGCAAGCATATTTTAAGGGGATCTCAGAGTCATATGCAAATTGCTCAGAATAGAGCTTGGCACAGAGTAATCATTCAGTCCACAAGATCTAATATTATCAGCAGCTTTAGAAGCAGCAGCCTTCATTAGCAACCGAGGACAGAAATAAGGTAGCCCTACTGAACTTTCCATTGCTTCAGCTATTTTTCAATGACATACTTCTACTGTCACCTTCCTTTTGGGAGCATTGCTTCTGCACAAGTTTCATTTGCCGCTTCCCTTTGTGCTGGCTGGTGCTTAGTTCAATCACAGAGCATGGGTATGGAGCAGACATGGCAGAGAGCTGGGGCATCTGCTCCTCTCACACCCTTGATTCACTACTTCTCGGGGTCACCTATGCTATATCAGCTTTGTTCAAAGGCATATTGTTCAAACTCTACTTGTCATCAGTTGGGTCTCCAGCTATTTCTTTGGTTCAAAGTATAGTCTAGGATATTGGGTACTGAAGGAAAAAGTGAGTGTTGAAATTGTTTGGGGTCTGAGCACTGTGATACTCCTTAATTCAGCTGGGGAACCAGAAATACTTGGTTCTATATGTACACATTTCATACCAGATCAAAGACTGGCATATGGCTCATCCTCCCACTCTTGATTTGCATGCATACTTCTAACTAAATGCCCAGAAGCCTCCCAGTCCTATCCTCTCCCAGGAAGTGGACATGGCAGTCACTGGCAAAAAGGAACCGGTTGTATACTTCCAGGATCCCATCAGTTTTGGAGAAGTAGGGCAGGCCTGCCTGCATCCTTTTGTTTTTAAGTCAACAAAGAGAGCTTGGGGAGGTGTTGTGAGCAGAGGGGATCACCCTCTAATGTTGGGGACCTCTTTGGAACTTACAGTGTTAACAGGCATGTCCTGGCAAGACAGATCCTATGTGAAGCAATCTCTAAGTTTCCACTTCTTTTTGCAGTCACAAAATTCCACAGCTCCCAAGGGACTCCCCCTGAATGCCCAACCATATGTCCACAACCAGCTGCCTAGAAATCCTGTAACTGACTACAGTAGAGCAGGCCAGAGCATGCGTGTTTCTGTTTACATCTTTGCAAAGAGTCTGTGATACATCAGAATCCAGACCCTCAGGACAATTCCTGAAGGAACCCATCAGCCATGCGTACATGCCAGTCCAAAATAGCAAGCATTCCTAATCCCCCAGTAAACACAATGCACCTTACTACCTCAAACATAGGCACTGAGCTCACAAATCAATTTGAGAAGTTTGTTTGAAATCATGACTGTCTCACCCTGGGACTTGCGGACGCCTGAACTGAACAAACTTTTAAACAATTAAATGAGACTGTGTAAAAAGATTCTAAGATGGGGCAGGCATTGGAACCAGCAGTTAAGACATGGCTTGGGACACACACACCCCATGTCAGAGGGCCTGGGTTTGAGTCCTGGTTCCACTCCTATTTCCAACTTCCTGTAAATGCATACCCCAGAAGGCACCAAGTGATGGGTGGGTTCCTGCCACCCACGCAGGACATCAGGATTGAGTTCTCAGCACCTGTTTTTGGCCAGGCTTAGCCCTCACTACTGCAGCCGTTTGCAGGATGAATCAGCAGATAAGAGAAACTTCTCTCTTTCTCTCTCTTTTTCATTTTCAAATAAATTAACCTTTAAAAAATGACAATTGTTGAAAACACTTTCCAAAGTAATAACAGTAAAATTAAAACTATCTAAAGAATATAAAACAAGATCAAAGTAATAATACACCAGCAGAGAAGATAAAACCCTAATTCCCCAAAGCCAAGTTGACCAGAGATTTTAATAACCCCCAGATGAACCTGCAGCTGCAGCTAGCACGCCAACAAAGTCAGAAGTGTTCTCACCATGAGTCTTGTGATCGGAGGCCTTTTATGCCTCCTGCAGGCATCCAAGTGTCCATCACTGGGGAAAACCTTTCCACGTAAGCACCAACTTCTGCTCCCTCTTTGGAACCCTTTCTCAGGCTGAGGAAGCCAACACAGTGCTTTTTCAAACCCCCTAGAAATCAGCCACCAATAGGGTTTGAAGGGGGGAAAAAAGAAAACTACTCCTATACAGAAAACAAACAAAAAAACCTCATGAATCTGTCCTCTATGGGGGGCTTCCCTTTTCCAAAATGAGCAGTGAAGAAAAACCTTTAAGGTACAAAAAGTCAGCAGAGGATATTTCAGTTCCCCCTGCCACACACCCGGACATGCTCCACATCACAGAAGTAAAGAGTCCTGCAGCTGCTGTTCCACTGAACAGAAGACCAAGCATGACACAGGCAGACCAACAGGGTGCCCCAGACTGCACCCCGCCTGCATGTGGGCAACTGGGTTCACTTTGCATCGAGCTGAGGGAACACAGGATTCTACCAATTTAAATAAACATGGTATTCCCAGTTCTTTGATAAAGATATAATAAAATCTCACTGAGAAAATATGCAAAATGGTCAGCACTTGTTTACTCAATGACCCCAGGCAAACCACATTCACACCACAGCACGGAAGCTGATCAGCGACAAAGGGCCCTCCTGCTAGCTTCCAGTGGCACTGAGCACGGGCAACTACTCTTTGGAGGTAGCTTTCAAAATGCCACGTCAGACATTCATGCATCCCCTGAAACAGCCTCCAAGCTACCCTCAAGAGAAGACCTTCTCCCAGCACTTAGTCTTTTGCAAATTCCCATGGGGCCACCAGAGC